CCGCCGCAGAGGAAGGGCCCGGCCACGGTGCTGCTGGGGACCGGAGTGGGTGAGGGGCGAGCCCGGGGCTCTCGGGAGGAGTCGGGGGATCGAGGGCTCCCCTAGATCCAGGTGCCTCAGAGCGGACAGAAGTCCCCTGCTGGGTGATGGACGATGGGGGAGCCTGCCTTCGGATGTCGGTCCGAGGGCCTCTCAGGGAAACCCTTCGGGCGGGATGGGAGGAGGAGACGAGATCCGGAGGGGTGGCTGTAAGGATCTCTCGTGGGCTGCGGGACCGGCTCCAGCCTTAGTTTTGGGATTGGTTAGCTCAGCAAGTCCGTGTGTTGATTACAGGGAGAGTCGCTGCTTCCAGGAGAATTGAGGGCGTCTGCACAGGATGAGCGACAGGGGGAGACAGTTACCACTGGGTCTTATCTATTGAGGCCACAGAGAGTGAAACCACCTATTGCCCTGTTTGAGAAGGCAGATGGATTCCTTAAAATTGGGTTTCAGGTGTCAAGCTGGGTGGGAGTGGAACAGAATATAAGGTGGGGAAGAACAGCTAAATTGGGAGGCTTGGGGTTTGTGTTGGGGGAAGCCAACCGAAATAAGGCCCCTGCAACGGGGAGGGGGTACAAAGGGTCGGGTTCCGGGCAGGTGTTTTGTTTTGTCTTGTTTTGTTAAGGAGAAATATCTCTTCTTCCTGTATTGGGTAGGGAAATGTCTGTTTGGCGAGGCCAAACACTCCTTTGGAGACCTGAAACGAATGTGGACTCAACTCGGACATTCCCTTGTTAGCTGGGCAGGGAGGAGGAGAGGAACGGATGAAATGAGAACTCTTGGGTGACTTTTTGGGGAAGGCCAGGCAGAGGGGAATTGAGGGGTTCTCCCAGGGGAGGGGTTCTCCCGGGGGAGGGGTTCTCCCAGGGGAGGGCTCCTTCCACTTCCCGGGAGATCAAGGAAAGCCACTGGGGGAAGGGTGAAACCTGAGGATCTGTTTCAGGGTTAGCTTCACGCAAGATACCAGGGGATGGTCTGGAGGAGTGGGGTTGGTGCTGGTGGAGCAGGTCCCTGCGAAGGTCATATTCTGGAGATGCGGGGCTGGATAGAGATTAAATATCTTCATTTTGATGAGGCTGCACCCACAGGTCCCTGGCAGCAAAGCTGGCCCAGGAAGTTCTCCCCAGCAGCGGGGTAGGATGGGTGACCTCTGGAGGAAGCAGACCAGCCCACAGCGTTGCCCTACTGTAGCCTTTCAGTGACACCAGCCTGGGTACTGAGGTTCCCAGGCTAATTAAGGCCACAGCAGCACTGCTGGAGCGGGTTGCTACTCTAAGGGGACGTGGTTAGGGGGCTTGCCAGGATATTTCTCCTCTGCTGTCCAAGGAGCCATAGTTGTTTGCTAGGGTAATCCACCATAAACTGCCTTGTACATTTAAAGCAGTAGGGTCTCCTTGGAGCATCCAGAAGCCTTTGCATCCTTCAACTAGGTTTTGGTTTTAGCTAGTAGAGTGCTGAGTCCCTTCATTTACCGGTCAGTTCATTGCCACGGGCACTGCCAGGAGACAGGCTGAGTCAGGACAGACTGCTCTGGGAAACCTCGCCAGAGTAACATCCCTTCTGGGGTGCTGTGAACTGGGGAATACATGGCACCCATGGCAACCAGGGTTGTGGTGGAATCACAACTCAGCCGTGTCTGCAGGCCTTTGAGATTGGCTACCTACAGTCCAGTTTAACAGCTACTTCATTCTGACTTCTGAGGTCCTGCCAGTTGAAGAGTACTTCATAAACACCATGGCGGTCAGATAAAACGTTAGCAGGTGCTGTCTGCTGGCATACAAGAGCCCTTGGTGGGGTTTAGATAACACAGAACCAACTTTGAGTTGCCCCAAAATGGGCTTCTCCAACAGTTGTCTGTTTATTGAGCAGATAACTCCTGAAGGTCTGTTGTAAGTAACAAACAAAATGGCATAACCCGTCCTTGAAGAGTTTGCATCAAATCCGGGAGAAGGCTGATAAGGCAGTAAGATGATCTCAGGTAGCAGGATGTGCTTGAGGAAACCAAGTGTCTGGAGAGGTGGTCAGGGAAGGTTCCTCTGAGAAGGTGGCAATTGAATTGAGGCAAATGATGGAAAGAGCCAACCTTGCAGCCTGTGTCACAGGCCCAAAGTAAGAGAAGGTTATCACTGCACAGGCCCTGGGGTGGAGCTGAGTTTGGCATATTGAAAAAGCAGAATAAAAAGTCTTTAGTGCTTAAGGGAGACTTGTTCAGGTAACGAGTTGGAGAGATGTGGTTTTGGATTTTTAGCCAGTGCAAGGGGAAGCCACTGAGCAAATGTCTGATATAAAGAAAGCATTCAATAAATACTTGTCAAATGAACAAACGAACGCCTTAGAGAGAGGAATGACAAGATCTGACCTGTGCCCCCGCCGGTGGAAGGAGAGCAGAGTGCTAAGAGAGGAAGCGAAAAGATTTAACAGGCCTCTCTCTCCTTCCGAACCCTGAGAAGGATGTGAGGTATGTTCACGTGCCTCTGTACTCCGAGTGTGTGCTTTTTGAGTAATCTGTGCACCAGTTGCCAGGAAACAGCTGCGAGACCTTGAGGTTCCTGTAAGGGCTGAACTTAGTTGTTTGTGGTCACTGCTGCCAGCACTTGACCGCTAAACCTTCCCATTTCCTTTGGTTCTCCTATGTAAGAGTTTGCAGACCCTAGAGAATGGAACTATGAAAAGTCCTCCACCGTCCCTCAGGGCAGCCCTATTATGACAGACGACTCCTTCCTCTCCAGTCCTGGTTTGCAAGATTCCTTGGCCCTTGGCTGGCAAGCCCTTCCTCTCACCTGCAGCCCATGGGCTTCCCTGACAGCCAATCAGAAACCTTGGACCAGAGGGAAAGCCCTGGGTGGGAGTGATTTTAAATTTGCATACATAGGAGTGGCCTGATGTTCACATCCAGCTTGTGAAAATTTTATTTTGTTCTTGAGCAAAAGGCAGTAGCAAAGTTTATTTGAAAAAGTAAAAGTGAGGCAAGACTGACTGCCGATCTTGGGCTGAGTAAAAGGAAAAAGCAAGATAAAAACACCATGGAGAAAAGCAGGGGCAGGCTATGGCAAGGAAAGCCACGATGGGCGTGAAAATTGAACAGGCAGTAAGATTGAATAGTCTTCTCTTCCATTCCGGGCATTTCCAAGAAAGCTGCAGATGGGAGATGAGAACCCGCGGTCCCTCCGTCTCAGTCCGCATGTCTCACCAAGCTGCCTCTTGTCCATTGTCGTTAAATGCTTTTTGTGCAGCCTGGGTCTTACACTCAAGAGAACTGCTTCGGATTCACTCACCTGAAGAAACGGGAGTCTGCCCTAGGGACCGAGGGCGAGGATGCAGCTATTGGTCCTGATAAGAAATTTCCAAGGTTAATTTTAATTTTGAGGGTGATTTTACCCCTTCACTTTAGGGCCACCCTATTTCCCTCTCCACATTCTTTGCTTTGTTCTTCCTCTTTCTTTTCATTCCATATATGTTCATTCATTCTCCCTCTCCTGGATCCTTTCTCCCCTCTGTCTCCTCTTCCTGATTTGTGTTTTGTTTTGTTTTGGGTTTTTTTTTTTTGTTTTTGTTTTTGTTTTTTGAGACAGGGTCTCACTATGTAGTTGAGACTGACCTGGAACTCACTAAGTAGCCCAGGCTGGTCTCAAACTCACAGCTATCCTCCTCCCTCAGCCTCCCGAGTGCTGGGAGTACAGGCGGGCACCACCATGCCCGGCCCTGATTTGTCACTATATAGTAATTGGATAAAAGTGGAATGCAAACTCTGAAGTACTGGGCAGCACATTTGGTGATGCTGTTGCCCTTGCATCGTGGATGAAGCTTGGAGGCTCCCACTACTTTGCCTTTCCCCTTTTGTCATCTCCTCTGCCTTTCCACAGCCCAGTGAGTCACAGGGGAAATGTCAGCCCCGAGGTATTGCTCAGGGAGCTTGGTGCCTGGCTGAGGCTGCTGGTGGTCAGACTCCAAATCCCTGCTCCCCGGACACCTGCTCCTGCCTAAGGATTTCAGCATGCTCTTCCCACGGCTGGGAGTGTTTAATCTCGGGCTGAGTGTCTGCCCTCTGTTTCAGGAACCCCTTTCATAGCATCCCTGGCTGCCGCTTGCCTCCTTCTGGCCAGTGTCCTGTCCAACAAGAGTGAGGCTCATTATTTAAGGAAGCTCTCCTGTGCTCTGCTGAGTAACTCAGGCCTGCAGGGCTTAAGGCCCCCAGATGTCACAGGCAAAGTAGGTCTGCACCTTGTGGGTATGTGGCCCTTAGACTTCTTTTTAACTTGCATTTTGAGAGCTTATCATGTGCTATTTGCCGCATTAAATACATCATCTCACTTCGCATGGAACCTCTGAGGAAAATGCCTGTTGTGCAAGTTAAGAAACTGAGGCCTGGGGAGGAGACGTGACTGGCTCAAGGCACAGCTGGTGACTTGCAAGGTCAGGTTCCAGAACTGGGACAGGTTTTCTCCAGGACAAGCGCTCTGGGCCATCTCACCGTTCCTCCAGAACCACCGCAGCCACCCCCAGCGTTCCATCTGCCTGTTGGCCTCTCGACTTTGGTCAGGTCCTTCCCTCTGGGTAGACTAACGACGCTCCAGTGGGAGTCTCTGTTCACCTTCACGTCCACCGTGTCACAAGTCCAGCAGCTGTGACTCCTCGCCATCTCTGTTGTTGTCCTAGCCTGTCTTTCTCTCACCTGGAAGCCAGGAAAACCTCCTGCTTTGTCTTGCCCTTTACAGTACCTTCTGCGCAGAAGGAAGAATGTCAGAACTGCCACACCCCTCCAGAAAGCCCTTCCCACTGCGCTTAGTGTAAAATCGGGGTTTTCCCATGGCCCTGGCGGCCCGGCCCTCACATGGTACCCGCACACCCCTGTCATCCCTCTTCCCCTGCCAGGGTGCTCTGCCCCACATCTTCCTGGGTTCTCACCCTTTAGGTTACAGCTCCCCCTCCCTGACCACCGCATCCTGTGCAGCCTTCTTAGTCATTGGCCCAGCTTCCTCTGTTCTCTTCCAAAGCACAACCTTACCTGAAGCCTTGCTTTTTTACATATTTCTCGTGCTTTTTAGCTAGACGGAATTTTTTCTCTTCTCTGTCCTTAGCACCCAGTGCCACCCCTGACATAACAGTGGGTGCTTAGAAAGTACTTGTTGACTGTTGCAGTGAAATTAATCCAGGATGTCATTTTGATGTAGCCAGGTATAAATTTGATGTGTGGAGAAGTAGTATCTGGTGGGCAGCAGCAAAGCGTTCTTAGGCCTTCATGGGGGAGGAAGCTCTTCCCCTGGCCTGTGGTAATTAACAAGAGGCACAGAGTGCACTGTCTTCTCCTTCCCTGCGTCTGACTCACTTCCTGCAGCTTACCTCTTGTCTCCACCTGTCAATCTGATCCTTGACCTTGGTCACTCACTGACACTCATATCAGGAGTTCAGGATCATGCATCCTGTCCCTGCTTGTTCCATGTCACGGTGGATTGCAAAGAATGGCAGGTTGCTCCGCGTTTTTCCCCCGAGAGCTGGAGAGCCAACTGGAGGGCAGTTTTAGACTCCGGAGATCTGAGTGGAGGAGTTCCCAGATGAGGCCCTGCAGGTGAGCCATTGCTTTAGAGATGAGAGATCTGCTTCTCTGGTCAGGTACCAAAGAGGCAGCTAGGCCAGCTGATTGCTCAGGAATAAAAGTTACAGGCTCTCAGCTTCACCTGCAGAGCTCAGCTGCTGCCTTCCCAGGATGAGCACCCAAACCCATTTAACCAGCAGCTTGCTTTTCAGGACCCCTGCCAGCCAGGGCTTTCCAAGATTCCCTGGTGCCATAGCTGCTGCTTTGTGACCATGATAGCCCCAAAGATGTTTCAGAGGACTTTGAACTCCTTTTTATACCACAAATATTTTAATATGTTGCTATGCCTCAGATTACTGCATTCAGTGTTTTACTATGACATGGTCTCAAACTCTGTCAAATATTCGTGCTTTTCCAACCTAGTTGTCATATTTTCTTTGTAAAATCTTGCAGCTACTGCTTTTTACATTTATATTTAGCCATGAGAATAACTGGCTGGCTTTTTTTTTTTCCAGCTTTAATTGAGTTTATTGGTACATTTTAGGGATACAGTACAGTTACATTCATTGTTGGGATCTTGTACCTCTACATGACAGGTCTTGGTTCTCATTTTTTCCCCTTGTCCCTGCCCTCCCTTCACCCCCTCCTCCCCTCCCCACGGCTGGCTTTTGATACTGACACAAATCCAGGAAAAATCCTTTGGAAAGAATTCTGAAGTGTAATGGGAACAAATATTTTCTTTCTACTTTTTATTTTTATTTATTTATTTTTTATCTTACTGAGTTTATTGGCAAATTTTTCTTAGAAGTTATGGATTACTGTTACATTTCAGCACCTGGGTGAAGTTAAAGTTCACATTTCATAGTGAACTTTAACAGTTACAGTCTATTTAATTATACTTATCTTTAGATACAGATTTTCCTAGTCACTTCTACCTCCTGTAGAGCTTGTAGTTCTCTTGGTTTTGCAAGATGAACTAGCACAAGGCCATTTTTGTAGTCTGTTACTTGCTGCTGTTTTTCTAGCTGCTTGACATACATTTGTAATCTTAAAATATAGATTGATTTAGCTGATTAAAGTGCTTATAGGAATAAGATGTTTTTTCACTAACATGTATGTATGTATGTATGTATTTATTTTGGTGTGGGGATTGAACTCGGGCCCTTGCGCTTGCGAAGCAGGCAGTGGAACCAGTGAGCTAAATGCCCGGTCCTATTTTATTTTATTTTATTTTTGAGACAGGGTCTCACTATGTAGCCCAGGCTGGCCTCAAACTTGTGGTGATCCTCCTGCCTCAGCCTCCCCAGTGCTGGAATTAGTCATTGGCCACCACGCCTAGCTATTTTGTTTAAATTTATCATGATTTTGCACATACTCTTTATTTGGGATAGGATGAGGTGTTCACTGACTGATAAATGCTTAAGTCTGCAGGATCTTTAGAACACTAATACTTGGATTTATATCCCAGAAGTAGCCCTGGAGTGCCTCAAGTAGGGTATGGTTAAGCCATTTGGATTGAAACGCTCTTTCGCTTTGTAAAAAATATGTATTAGCTTTGTGTATGGCATTTCTAAGTGGTATGGGATATGGGTAACGTGTTTTCATATATAGTTTATGCCAAAAAAGTTCATTTAATAGTGAATCCTTTCACTTGGTTAAAAAAATCAGTTTTCCTTCATTTGAATCAAAAACAAAAGAATGTTCCCTAAAATTCCCAGTCATTAAAAAGTAAAAGTAGTTGTCGAATTTTACTTATTTCACAATAAAAACCTTAGGATGGTCTGGGGATTTAGCTCAGTGGTGCCACCAACCTGCCTTGCAAGCAGAAGGACCTGAGTTCCGTCCCCACACACACACACCCAAAAAATTTAGGTAACTCAATTATATGGCACCAGCACCCAGTATTTTGGTCCCATTAGACTGTTAGAATCTACAGTAGATGAAAAAGAGACTGCTGTTCCTTCAGCCAGGAAACACCAAGTGCCATTGTGTGCCAGCGCAAACCAGATTCTGGGGAGGCAGCTCTGCCTTGAGCTTAAAGAGTGAGTGAAATAGAAGATAAAAAGCAAGAAAAGGAAAGAGAAAGTGAAAAGGTATAGCACAGGCCTAGTGGAGATAAAGGTGTGTGAAGGGAGGGGCTTAGCGCAGTCTGCCTGGCCTTTAGTAAGGTAAGGTTTACAGTTTTAAAAAATGATTATATTCAGATGATCTTTCTTGGACTTTAGAATCCATACTAAGCCCCTTTGATAATGTTTATAGTATCAGACTCTTTTAATGGTGGTATGAATGTTTCCCAGTTGTATCTTCAGGAATAAAGCACTTAGAGTTTTGTGTCATTAAGCATTATTCATTCTGAAATCTTGTCTCTGACGCTCAGCTATTCATTCATTCATTCGCCCAGCATCTGAATGCCTGCTCTGGAGAACACAGCACTTTTCCAGAGTTGGAGATTCCGTGGGAATGAGGCAGAATTCTACTCACATGGAATTTGTGTGTACATGGGAGAGGCAAGCAGTGACCAATAAAGTAGAAAGGGGTGTATTTAAAATGTCAAATGGCGGTGAGTGCTGTGAAGAAAAATGAAGCAAGAACGGAGACTGGGGAGTAAGATCTTAGGTTGAAAAACGGGAACTAGTCAGCCATTCACTTCTCTGGGCAGAATCCAGGGTGAGAAGTAGCAAGTGCAGAGGCAGAAGGAAAGGTTGCTCTTTAGAAGCTGTGTGGCAGAAAGGGAAGGGGGAGGCAAGGGAAAGAGTGGGGGAAATGAGGTTGGCAGAGCCGAGGGGCCTCTCAGGGACAGCTCCGGAGTCTGGTGT